CCCCCCCCCCCCCCGCCCTCGGAAAAGGGGGGGGAGGTGACCCCGTTCGATGTTTGTCTCGGAGCGGACGTGACCGCAATTCAAACTCCGCCGAGAGTATTTTTCGCAAAGTCTCGTTTCGCGTAACTCGACTGTCCTTCTCACCTCGTCTGGCCAAAAATTCCCTCCCGACGCTCCACCGACGCGCAGCGTCCTTTCCTATTCGCTGAACGTCTCGAATTGAAGCTCACTTACGTTGCTACAGAATCTTCCAACTGAGGAATCTCCATGCTTTCAGAAACTGTCATGGAGGAATAAAGGATGGCCGCTATGAGACTTGTCCGAGTCGTCCTGACCATCCTGGGAGGCACGCAGCTCCTGCGAGCCGAACCCTCAGCCTCGCCGACTGTCAAGAGCACTGGTGAGTCATTCTATTATATTTCTTCTTCCTCTTTGTCTTCTGTCTTCTATCTTCTGTCTTCTATGTTTGATGAAATTTCAATGCCAGAGTCTCGGCTGTTGTCGATCCGTCAGCCTGTAGTCATTGGGTTTCGGCGATTTCCCTAGCGAGCGGATTTGTCCCTGCGCCTGTCGGATCTTTGTCAGCCGGGATTCCCCTTATATTTTTCCTTCTCGGCTCTTCCCCAGCTTCCCCAGCTTCCCTTGCGTCACTCTCGACGTCTTCTAATCGGCTGCAGCTTATCTCAGGACAGATAGGCCCAGGAGGATGAGACGATCGAAAGAGTGTCGTAAGTAGAGAGAAAATATTGTAGGAGAGGATCGCTCGCGCATAAATTTAAACGAAGCTAATAAGCTGGAAAAGTTTCGGACAGCGATGCGCGGGGCGCGTTCATCCTGATCATCCTGCATGTAAATTCAGTGAAATCTAAGGACGGCCCGAGGGTGGCGACGGTGGCGACGGTGGCGATGCGACACGGCTACGTAATTTCCTGCGCCCTTGATAAAAGGGTGGTGGCTCTCCTTCTGAAATCTTCCCTCGTGCCAGTCAGCCAGTGTCTACCCGTCCCTGACACCAACCCTCCGATCTTCGTCATTCCAGAGACACACCCCAGCCCCTCGTGCCCTGCAAACGTTATTAACTTTTCTAATGGGAGACGTACGTTGCGCGATCGCAAGTCCGATCGATCCCCAGGAGAGCTCTCACAGTACTTGAGCTAAGAAACGAGTGGCGTGGTGGCGGTGCTGCTGGAAAGACCGAAGATGACGAAGATGACGAAGATGACGAAGATGACGATGCTGACGCGCGAAACGTGACTGCCTTAACGGGCTGATGGCACAAAGCGCGACGATCCCCGCGAGGCTCGGCACTTGACTTGTCTTGTATTGCTGCTGCACAATAGGCCGAAGGGCCGCGTTCGCGTGGAATCTCGACCCGTCGCACCCGCGTGTTTTCTCTTGACGTGACTCGGGACTTTGCACCGCCGCCAGTCCATTTTTCCTAATATTGAACCGGCGCGATATTTCGCAGGCGGCAGGACGTGCGAGAGACTAGACTAGAGACCAGCCGACCAGCCGACCAGCCGACGCGTCGCGCTCTCGACGCTTTCGGGGCAGCTTCGACCGAGCAACAAGTGCTAATTACGTTACTTGCCTGACAATTGGTCTCTACCCGCGAGCACCAATGTGAGGAGGAGGTGGAGGAGGAGGAGGAGGAGGAGGACGTGGCCGCGGTAAAAATGTTGACAGCACGTGCTGCGCTACTGGCGCTACTGGCGCTACCTGCACTCTTCCTTCGTCTTCTCCTGGCGCGCTTTCACGTAATGGCCTAGCTTGCCGAGGTAATCTCGATTAATTAAGCCGCGTATTAATCAGCGACCGCGTGACTCGAGCCAACCGATGGACCCGCGGATAAGTATCGCTACGGACAGTAATTAGGCTTTACGAGTCGGATGACCCGCCGCGCACTGACCCTCCTAAACGAGAGAAAGGGATAGCTTACACATGTGGAGGACCTAGTCACGAACTCTGACCTCCCCGAGGCTGAATTCGGTCACAAACTTGGGCGTTCATTCTTTCGGGGGTCAAAGGACTCGGCATTCTACATTCCAATTTATCCACTTGACTCTTCTTTCCGAGAGAGAGAGAGAGAGAGAGAGAGAGAGAGAGAGAGAGAGAGAGAGAGAGAGAGAGAGAGGAGACAGGGAGAGAAGAAGAAAAATGGGAAATCTGTTGAAATTAGAGGCGAGTCTTTTTTTCTCTCTATCCATCATGGTGAAGAGGATGATAGATGCATTTAGTTGGACTAACAGACGAAATCTTAGAATACCGTAGGGGCAAGAGGCGAGAGACCGTCACTGCGTACGTCGCTCTGTATTACCAGAAATAGTTTGATTGGCGAAGCTGACAAAGGCGGTACGAACAGGAAGGTCAGAAATGCCATCCATCAAGCAGCCTGTGAATAGTCGTTAAGCTCGGCTTTGCTTTAAACAGTAGCGAAGCAGGGAAGGTTGGGAAGGTTGGGAAGGTGAGGGCAAAGTTCAGGCATACTGGAGCGAATTCGAGGAGCTCCATCGATGCTCTAACCTGAACGCGCGCGTCGTTTAAGGCGGCACTCTCACGCGCGAAAGTGCGAGAGTGCGCGGGAGTCGGAGATAACAGGGATATCAGGTGGATCGGAACTGGAAGCTGGAAGCTGAAAGCCTTGGCAGTCGAATGGTCGCTGGGCGACTCGACAGGCGTCGGAGAGGATCGCGTGTCGTACGACTGTCGGACTGTCGGACTGATTGCGTCTTCAACGTCGGTAGTTAACGAAGGTCTTTGAAGACCTAGAGTAGCGGAGGGTGGCAGGGTGTCAGGATGTCGACCATTGGGGGTGGCCTGCTGGACTTGGACCATGTGCCTGCGAGTCGCGTTTAGTCTGCTGCTATTATCGAGAAAATTACAGTGTCGAGTCCATGAGCAAACTGTTCCATAATGTTATTGGAGGGGTCGGTCGTCGATCCCTTTGCCATTGAAGCGCAAGTTATCGTGGCATTTCGACACTGCGACACTCCTCGCCTAAGAACTTGGTGAAGGCGTAAAGAGCTGCAACTGCTAAAGGCAGGTGGGAAAACGGTTTAAACGCAAGGGCGGCTGAGAAAGAATCTCTGGCGCGGATCGGTTTGTCAAGCAGCGTCCAGGGTCCAGATATTGCTTGGAGGTTGTTTTCTTTTTCTTTGTTCTTATCGAACCTCGATGCTTCATTCCCTTACATCTCGATTATACGCGATGGCGTGTATAATGCGAGGAAGGTGCACTCGTCTGACCTCAATATCCGCTGCTCTAGAAGGCAAAACCTATATGAACACACGAGAGTCCATCCATGAACCCCTGACCCAACCACCCCTGAAGCTGCCCCGCCGTGATAAAAACTAAGATTACTATGCAATGCAATCAGCAACGCTAGTCGGGTTCTGCCGGATTAAAACACACCCCCGGCTTCCCTATTCCCGCGAACGTTTCGCCCGGGCGTGACCTGCTTTGCAAAAAAAAATGATAAACCATCCCCCGCTAAGGTGGTAGCAATTGTTTGTCCGCGCACGAAAACCTCGCCGAGGAGGCTGGTCGCGAGTAATGAATATTTATGTGCGCAACAAGGAGACGAAGATACTGATCACATCGAATTGCGAATTCTTACGCTTCCGCCAGCGGGAGGTTTGAAAATTATGGAAAATTCAGCCAGCCGAAAAGCAGCCGTTCAAACGTATCGAACGTCGTTGGTGGTGCCTTTCGAACGAATGGCTTTGAACTTGCCGAATGGCACTGATAGTTATTGTCGATTGATCGCAAAAGCCGCTCGTAGCTGTGCTCTAGGTGTCGCTTTTGATAACAGGGAATGATGTTGGTCCAGCAATTAGGGATGCTGGGCGGCAGGGAGGGGGGGGGGATCGGAGGATGTAAAAAAGGGGTCGTGTGTGTGCAGGAGCAGAGTGTGCCGGTAGAGTTGGAGTGTGCTGGAAGAGAGAGAGAGCGAGAGCGAGAGAGAGAGAGAGAGAGTGTAGGGTCTACTCAATGAGTGGATGCCAGACAGGTAGGGGTTGGCTAATGCATAAACAATGCGCCGTTTATCCGTGCCTGGGATGCAACCCCAATGAATAATAAACTAACCTACAGGCCGGCGAATAGATAGAGAGCCGCCTATGGTTCACGTTCCCCCGACTGGCATATAGCCCGACGTTGCTGTTGCTGATGCCGCTGCGACCGTTACCCGATGCTCTTGGAGCTTTTGCCCCTCGGCCAAATTACGGACTGCAGCACAGTTTGTGGAAAAACTAGCCTTTGCCTACGAAACGATTGGCGAGTGTCATGGGCGCCTGTCCTTTGCCGAACGTGCGAACGTCATCGCACCCTTTCCTTCCAAGCTTCCCTCGTGCTCCCTTCCCAGCCTCCACTGAATCCCTTTACAAAGGCCCAGGCACAGCAAACGCGAAAAAGGAGTCTCCTTACAGTGGAAAATAATACGAGCGACCGTTTCTCTGATCTGTTCTGGGAAATAAGCACCGCGCCGAGAGCCAATTAACGAAACAGAGTATATTGTTTCCTGCAGAGTCGATCCTGGAGGCTGAATTCCTCGAGTAAAAGTGAATTGGCGTGACTGCCTTTCTTTCCCTGTCTTCATTCTCACACTTCACGTTCAGCTTCGGTCTCTCTCACTGGGGAAGCATTTTGCCCAATCGCTGCGGTTTGCCTTCCTTCCCTCGTGCCCAAGGGTTCCTTTCGGTCTTCGCGGGCTTCGCTGTCGAAATTTCTCCGAACCGAAAGCCGGAAAGTGATGTTGCCTTTTAAACGTCGGCTAGGCTGCGTACCTCGAGTGGCATGCGTGCTCGAATGATAAGGGTGGAGAAGTGGCGTGGCGATGCGAAAGAGGGATGACGAGGGAAAGTGACGAAGAGGGTCCGGAATAAATGCAGGGTTGCGTGGGTGAGGGTTGTTTGGTGAGGGTCGGTGGAAACCCCTGCCCCTTTACCTTGGTCGAGAGGAGGAGGAAAGTGCGAGAAGGGTCGAAGCGCCGGGACGGGCCAAGTCGAGCCAAGGGCTGCCCGTGAAATTAGGTTAATTAGGTTGTACGATCGCGCACTAGACTAGGCTCAGCAGTTACGATTCCCCTCAAGGCCATTCTTCGGGCCAGTCAAGATCTCGTCTTCGAAGTTTTCGTCTTCTTTGCAATTGAAAAGCACTTTGGGAGCTTCCAAGAGACAGGGGCGGTCGGAGACGGTCCTTCGCGGGTCCCGTCGAACTGGGAAATCAGTTCTTGAGCAATCTGCCTGTTCTGTCTTCCGTAAATTTCAGAAATCTGCGAGTGAGAAGAAAAAGTCTCTAAGAAACGTGTGGCTTCTACCCACTGGCCCTCCCGTCTAATTCTCATCAGTATTTTATTCAGTACCAAAATTTTGAGGCTCAGCTTGAAACTTCCGACTCGGT